TCTCTCTCTCTCTCTCTCTCTCTCTCTCTTTCTTTCTTTCTTTCTTTCTTTCTTTCTTTCTTTCTTTCTTTCTTTCTTTCTTATGTTTTTGTTTGTTTGTTTGGATTTTAGAGACAGGGTTTCTCTGTGTAACAGCCCTGGCTGTCCTGGAACACACTCTGTAGCCCAGGCTGGCCTTAAACTCAGAGATCCTTCTGCTTCTGCCTCCCAGAGTGCTGGGATTAAAGGTCTGTGCTTCCACTGCCTGGCCCAAAATATCTTAACCTGTAAAGAAATATTAGAAATATGGTTCATGTTCCCCCAAAGAGAGCAGTCAATGCAGAGCAAACCCGAATTGCACCAGATGATGTGTGGGAAGCCACAACTCCTCTTACTTCTCTGTATTGTGCTTCGCAGATAGTTTTTATAAATGGAAGGTTTGTGGCCATTCTTATTGGACAAGTCTCTCTGGGTCATTTTTCTAACGACATGTGCTACTTTTGTAAGCACACTCTGTCACATTTTGGTAATTCTTACAACATTTTTTATTTTTCTTTTATTATCTGCGAACAGCCGCCTTCAGTGTATTATAACTCTTTTAGGACACTATAAACCCCACCCATGTAAGAAGGTATACTTAGCTTTAACAAATTCTCTGTTCAGACTGCTTCAAAACCAGCCATTCCACTCTCCACTCTCTTTTGGGCTTTCGTCTTTCCTGAAACAGAAATACCTGTTTGTTTGGAGCTTCCAGCTTGCACAAGCTGGAAACCTCATTTGCCCACTTCTCCCAACCCCACCTTTCCTGAGAAAACTGAACAAAGAAATGACACACAAGTGCCCACCCAGGGACCTAGCTTTTGACCATACTTGGGCACAGTCCCAGCTCCTGGCTGGCACGTCATCACCCCTTGCCTAAGGTCTATAAAACCTCCCTGCCTTGGCTCAGGGGCATCACTTCTCTGGCCTCTTTCTCTGAGGCCAGTGAACCACCTGGGAGTCGCTTTGTTCTCAATAGGCCTGTTGTTATACTTGTAATCTGGCTCATTCTGTCAGTGGGGAAACTTATTATCTGGGGAAAAAATGTCAGTACCAACATTAGATCAATTAATAACCCCACAGTGGATGCTAAGGGTTGGAGAAAATGGAAGAGTTGTAAATCTCTTTCCTTTAAATCAAGAGCTACAATGATTAAGCTTAGGAAGTCAAAAGCCAAGATAGGTCAAAAGGACTGAAACAAATTTACAAGTTGTGAATGCAAAGAAAAAGTTCTTGAGGGAAACCAGGAGTGAACACACAGAAGAAAAACAACTTTGTTACTAATTTATTACTGATAAAGCTTTCACCCACAACATTCTCTTAAGTTAAAGTTTAACTTAGAGCAAGTCCCAGCCTTCAGTTCATGAAGGTTGAGAGAAGTTAGAAAAGTATAAGAGAAAAATTTGAAGCTAACAGAAGTTGGTTCAGGAGATTTGAGGGGGAAAATGTCTTCATAAGATAAGTGTGCAAGACAGGAGCAAGTGCTGACTTGGAAGCTGCATCAAATCATCTGGAACATCTGGTTAAGACAACTGATGTAGGTAGTCTCAATAAACAACAGGCTTTCTTTGGGGGACAGAGTTTCTAACTCATGTCAGCCTTGAACTCCCTGTGTGGCTAAGGATGACCATGAACTTCTGGTTTACCCAGATCCACCATCACACTTAAATACCAGGCTTTCAATGAAACAGCTTTATGCTAGAAAAGGACACTAAAATTTAGGACTTTTCATAGCTGGAAAAGGCGTTGTCTGGCTCCAAAGGCTCAAAGGACAGGCTGACTGTCTTGTTAGGTGCCAATAAAAGCTGACTTGACATAGAAGCCCCCTTTTCATCTGTCATCCTTCAAATCCTGGGACTCTTTGAGAATCATATGAAATCTGCTCTGCTTCTTCTCTGTCAGTGGAACAACAAAGCTCCTGGGATGACAGCACATCTGTTTACAAAATAGTTTCCTGACTCTTTAAAGCCTACTGTTGATAACTGTTGCTCAGTAAAATGATCTCAGCCTGGTGGTACATGCCTCCTCCTCCAGTGGCATGAAAGCTTGGGGATAACATATTCAAGGAATTCAAGGCTCTCTTGGGTAGCATGCTGAGATATAGTCTCAAAGGAAAAACAAACAAATTCCTTTCGAAGTATAACTTCACCCAAGAACTCTAATGGAATTTAATGAGATTAGTAATGTTTTCATGCCTGTTAAATTGGCACCAGCCATTTTACAGCCTAAGGATCAGGGAGTGATTTGACTTCAAGTCTCACTGTCTATAAATTTTATATTTATCATTATCAAGGAAAGCGGCTTCTCTGATTTATCTTGACATAGTAAACTAAAAACCTCTGGAAATGATTCCCTAGTGTAGATGTCATTAAGAATAAATATTATCCTTAGGCTTTACCATATAGATGCATGAAGAACATTCAGGATTCATGTCAAAATATCAATATTAACCAAAATTTAGAAGAAGTTAATTGTAACCGGCATGGCATAGAGATCTCAATACATTAGTGGAAGAAGTAGTTGTAGACAACGTAGAAATAACTGTTGTCCTAGTTGGCTTTCTAGAACTGTGATAAACACTGAGACCAAAGCAACTTGGAGAGGAAAGGCCCTCTTTCATTTGATAGCTTTCAACCGCTTATAAAGGGAAGGAACTCAAGGCAGGAAC